GGCGGATTGCACCTTTGCCCACGAGACTGCGGAGTTGCGCCCGAGCCCTAAGCCTTGCTTCGAGTTCTCCAAGACCGGCTCCTGCAAGCGCGGGCAGGCGTGCAGGTTCGTTCATTCGGTGGACAACATGAAGAAGAGTGGGAAAGCCAAAGGTGTGCCTACAGCCATGGAGCAACCAACCAGCGGGCAGAATCTGCTCGCAGTTCCGGGCGCCGGGGTGATGTCTTTTGCTCCCGCACGCATCAACACACCGCAACTGGGCAACTTGCTGTCCCCGCCCCTGCCGTCAATGATGGCATCGCTACCCTGCCTGCGTCCACCGCCTGGACTCGAAGACATGGGCCGGACGGGTCTTGGGGGGCATGGCCTTTGCACCAGCGTGAAGTTGCCTGTGGACGGAGACTCCCGGCGCTCCAGTTTCAGTGAGATCTCGTTGAGCTTGGAGCACGTCGCTCTGCCCATCCCCAAGGCAGCAGACCGTGAACAGATTTGGGCAGAGGATGTGGCTACGCAGAGCTTGACTTCCACTATGGCCTTGAGCACCACACCCTCCAACTTCAGTGAGGCAGATGGGCCTGAAGGCATTTCTTTTTGGCTGTGATTTCCGGAAGCTACCGCAGAAATTTCTGACATCACACGCAATTCCCAGCTGTCCGGCCACACCCGCCTGCACCTGAGACTTGAATTTCTAGTGCAGCACTTGTCAGCTTTCGAGCGCTCCAGCAAGAGAAAAGCTGTGCTAGTAAATGCTAGTATAACGACTAGTTGACTAGCAGTTGCTAGCAGGCCAAGAGGGCAGGACAGTTGGCATTTCCGAGCAAGCTACAGGCTATCGCAGGTTTCGCAGCATGCGCAGATCTTTCCTTTTTTGGTCCACTCGTTTGGAGCAGGAGCCGCATGCTGTGAGGCCCATTTTAGAGTTAGTTAGACTTCAGCCGGCCGTCCTTATGATTCATAAATTTGATCGTAGCCTCATGACACGTCGTAGCAGATTCGCCGGCAGTCGACCGCGAAGTCTACCTCTGTCACGTCTGTTGTTCTTTCCTTCCCAGGACGTTCGAAAAGTACGCAGGCCATACTCGTTTACAGGCTTGTTGACGTTGTGGGATATCCAGCAGTGCTTTGCCCGCCTCAAGAGATGATGCTGGCTAAGCCCTGTTGGTGGCTTCTCAATCTTTGTCATGTGTCTCCTACGTGGTAGATATACTTGTACAGTGCGAGATTTTGAATCCGCTGCCTGCGTAAGTTCCAAGAGCAACTTTTGAAGTACAGTGTGCCGTGTGTCCTTTTTCTAGCATGCAGCATGCCGGAAGCTGAATCTTTGGTTGTTGGCGGCACTGGTGCTTCCCAGGCAATACTGCGGAAACATAAACCTTTCTCTGAGGACAGTGTCGGAGTCATGAAAGTACCGACACTCCCAAGTCGCAAGTCATCCGATCAGGCAATCTTGCACATGGCAAGAGGCAAAGTGCCCGATTCCGGTTGTGAATGTAGACATGCAAGCTTACCATACCACATCTGCCTGCGAGAAACAACATGTGTTACAGAGTCCTGTTGCTGTCGACACAGCGATGCCTGATTTTCGTTGTGCAATCATCCACAGAAATCGCGGAGGCAAGTCTACGAAGTACTGAAGCTATGCCGGCCTGCAGGCAATAGCCGGAGAACATCCGTCCAGTCCGTCCACTGTCCTGTGCAAGCGGCCACTCGGAGCCGAGCCAGCATGACCAAAGCCGAGCAGAAGAAAGCCGTGCAGTTCACTCGCATGTGCAAGTTCTGGCGGACGAACGAGTGCAAGATGGGGTCGGACTGCACTTTTGCCCACGAATCTTCGCAATTACGCCCGAGCCCGAAGCCTTGTTTTGAATTCTCCAAGACCGGCTCCTGCATACGTGGGATAGCGTGCAGGTTCGTTCATTCGGTGGAGAACATGAAGGCCAGCCAGAAATCCAAAGACCACGGGTTTGCACTGGCTTCAATGAGCACACCGATGCCACCACGTGGAACTCTGCTATCCCCAAGCCACCCGAGTCTTCCTTCTCCTTGTCTCCCACCTCCCGGACTTGAAGGCTTCTGGTCCTCGAGCTCACAATTGCCGGATGAAGACTCTCGCCGCTCTCGCTTCAACGAGATCTTGATAGCATTGGAGGACCATGCCTTGTGGAAGGAAGCAGGACTTGAACAGACTCGCGCATCAGATGATGCATCCATGGCCACGCAGAGCTTGACTTCCACCATGTGTTTGAGCACTTCGCCTTCCAGTTTCAGTGACTCTGATGGCGCTGAGTGGACAGTCCTGCGACTCTGAACTGCTGGTCGTCTGTTGCTGAAATCAAGGGAGCTCGCGCGTTTTGTGGTTTGGGGATACCGAGTGTGGGAAAGCTGTGGGATACTCACAAAGTGCAGACGGCAGATGGAGACCCAGCGACAGATAGCGTGCATACAGTGCTACCGGTAGTAGTAGTATAGTAGTCGTCGTCGTAGTCGTCGTCGTCGTCGTCGTAGTAGTAGTAGTAGTAGTGATTCTGGTAATAGTGGTAGTAGCGCCATGATGAATAGCATTATCACTACTGGACAACCAGCAGCTTGTAGATGCGTTTTGATCGTTTGCCTGCAACCAAGCAAATGCTGTTTCGGGCAGTCGGCACAAGTCCGGACCACCTGAGCCTGCCACTGTGTGGCACCAGGCACAATGACCAGAAACTGACAGGAGTACTAGCTTATAGTAGCGATCAGGGCTACTGCGCATGCATCGGCTGCGGCGACAGCATGCCACAGTTCTGTGCACGCTGCGCTTTCAGCAGTTTCAAGCATGCTGCGCCGAATGGGCGCGCTGATGTGTGCCCCTTGTCAGCGTTGATTTTCTGGGTGTTTGAAATGACATGTGACACCGCATATAATGATCGTGATGCTTCTGGGAACATCGCCTCGGTTCGTGTCAGAGCTCTCTCCGAAACAGAAGCCGTGGGCAGAGGGCAGAGTGCGGCGTCAAGTCTTGAGCCTGAGCGGCGTCTGAACAACTCGGCTGTCGCGACGGAGCATGGGTGCGGCATGCTGCAAGGCATGCCGTCGCTTTGTTTAGGCTCCGAAGATGTTTCGTTAATGACAGGGCAGGCATGTATAGGTACGCCTAGACTCCTGGAATGCGCTGGATTTAAAAGCCAGGACGGCTTCGCTGCTGCATCTAGCAAGCCATTGTGTCGCCTTGCCAGATAGCCTTGAAGTATGCATGCTTTCAACTGATCTCAGACAGCAGTGTGACTGGTAGACCGCTGGTCCCTGCCACACATGACAAAAGCCGAGCAGAAGAAAGCCGTTGAGTTCACCCGCATGTGCAAGTTCTGGAAGACGAACGAGTGCAAGATGGGAGCGGATTGCACCTTTGCCCACGAATCTTCGGAGCTGCGTCCAAGCCCGAAACGTTGCTTCGAGTTCTCCAAGACCGGCTCCTGCAAGCGCGGGGAGGCCTGCAGGTTTGTTCATTCTTTGGATTGCCGAAAGAGCAAGAAACCCAAAGACCTACCAGCTCAGTCCGGCAACAGAGAGGAAGCTGAGCCCAGGATCAGGCCAGATCTACATCCACAAGTTAGACATAGCCACTCGGGAGAGGAGTTTTTCGACATGTCCCACTTGCGCCAGCTCGCCCCCCCAGTTGCCTCCGATTTTGGCGACGAGTTCCGGCCTGACTTGCACATGAGGGAGATCGAAGCCTATGCTCGTGCCGCCAAAAGAGATCTTCGCCAGACAGCAGGGGCAGGGATTGTCCTGAAATCCAGCTTGAGCGAAGCGTTTGATCCTCAGGAGTTTGCAGCCCTGCATCCAGCCAACTCGAACAGGATAGCATGGCCGGCAGACTCCAATCAGAACTTGAGGGCTTTGACTTCCAGTTTGAGCACGGCACCTTCGCATCTCCCCGACGTCCGCCCGCAGTCCTTCTGGATTTGAGAGTTTGGCCGTTCTTGAGCATCATCTCGTGACAACGGAGTGGTCACACAAATTTTACATCTCCTGTTCACACAGTATCTTGCCGGATGGGCTGAGTACATAAGAGTGTGAGTGGGCTCAGTGGGGCGGGCACCAGCTGACTGAAAATCGATGTGGACGCAGATTCCCTTAGGGCCGAGTTTTGCTTGTATAGCCAATCCTGATTTGTCTCTACATACCAACAAGCGGATGAATCTTTCGATTCCCGGCGGAACTTGCGAAATAATATTTGCACAGCCACGGTTTCACTTTTTTTGATTGTGCAGCGCACGAGAAGCCGAAGATTCGAACTTCTGTGCATTTATTCAGGCAGAGAACATCTGAAGTTGCTAGGTTACTGCCATTGGTTTTAAAAGAGCTGCGGATGAGCCAGACTCTTTGCTTCGGACAAATTTGCAGTTCCAGTGCAGCTCCATCCCCAGAGGAGTGTGAAATGCCACTTTCGACATAACATCAGTCACATGGCAGTCTTCAGCATTGATGTATGTGACTGTGCGTGATGGTGCTGAGTTCATTTCACCCAGGCAGGTCCAAGATCTTGCCGTGCCTCATCCGGGGTTAGATGATGGCACGTTTGCATACATCCACCTGGCTAGGGCGACCCCGAGCCGAAGACAGGTGGTGATTCGTGCTTCCATGTATTCCGATCAAGTAAGCTGCGCCTGGCAGCATACTTTGAGTCCGGTATGGCCTATGTAAAGCGAGAGGCAGCCGAAATTGATTTTCGAAGTCTGTGCATGTCGATTCAAACGACGGTGCTGAGATGTGCTGAGCTTCACGTGCTTCTGCTGAGACCTGCGACCGGTAGCCGACAATTAGTTCTGCAGATGCTACTGGTTTGAACGAGCTTGAATGTGCTGGTGCGGACGAAAGGATTCGGCACGAGCGACAAATTTCCAGAACGCCACACAGGCCGCATAGCGCCTGATCATCCGAGTAGTCAGGTAGCCATGCCAAAAGCCGAGGCCAAGAACGCTGTGAAGTTCACTCGCATGTGTAAGTTCTGGAAGACGAACGAGTGCAAGATGGGGGCGGATTGCACCTTTGCCCATGCTACTACAGAATTGCGCCCGAGCCCAAAGCCTTGCTTTGACTTTGTGAAGAACGGGTTTTGTGCTCGCGGGCAAGGTTGTCGCTTCGTGCACGAAGTGGTGGAGATGAAAACAACGGACAAGTTCGTGGAAGTGCAACGCTCCACCGTGAACCGTGGTGAGGCTGCCATCGCTCCGGTCCTCGCTACCTACAGCATGCCCCCGAGCATTTCTGCACAGTGGCACATGGCTGCCCAGCTGACTGCTGCACAGCAGATGCAGCAATTTAGCGGGACTCCTCCTGGTCCTGTGTGTGCTCAAACAAACCAGCGACTAGTGGAGCTGGGGGCTCTCATGGAGCCTCATGCCCAGCCAAAGCCAAACCCCTGCCTTCGTCCACCTCCTGGCCTGGAGTGCTTCGTCCCGCCCGTCCCAGCCCCACCGGGGCTCTTGGTCGATCCCGAGGTCACCGTAGCCAAGACTGGGCTGCAGCGCACGGCAGATTCCCGTCGCTCCAGTTTGAATGACATTTCGTTAGACCTGGAGTGCGTTAAGCTGCCCCTCTCCAAGGCCGACATGGAGGGCGCGGATGATTCTACGGTGGCAACACAGAGTTTTACATCGACGATGTGCTTGAGTACAACCCCTTCGAGCTTCAGTGAGGTTGAGAGCCCTAACAAGCCAACATCTTTCTGGTTGTGATGTATAAATCGCTCTCTCGTTGCAGGGACATACACGTGTTTAAAGTCTGTAAAATCGCGTGCATGCTTCGTATTGACTTCCTGCGGCATTCCAAGCGAGCTCCCCACGGGCCATTGTAGCGATGAAGGGCTTAATTAACAAGTCTTGCCGCCTTAGTTTGCCGCTTGGACGCCTCAATGCGCTGCCTCTGAAACGTTGGCCTTTAGTAGCGAGAGGATTTTGACCTCGCGCAATCGCCCGCGCCTGCCCACAGCAGAGCCCAGCTGGGAAATCCCATTCGCTGGCCCATCCCGGCCGCATGCACCTACTCGGAGTAAACAATGGTCAGGGATTGGGCTGTTTGACAGTACCGGAGGTACTGGGGTCCAGCTGGTGCCTAAGGGTCCTGTGCTATACCGCAGTTGTTGGCTTCGGCTTTGTCTTGTTGAACCCCGATTGCTGTGCAAGGCAGGGCAACCTTCCACTTGTCTATGGGAAACAGTGGAGACATCACAGCCCGTGTCCGTGTGCTGCCAAGCATCGAAGACTTCGGGCGCGAAAGCGTGAATGCTCATGCTGTCGCAATGCCCGTGAGCTCGGTGTCTGCTCCAACCTTCATTCCTTTCGTGTAGTTTGACCGGAAGGGTGGCAGTGCGCACGTTTTTGGACAAGTGGCTGTGTCTCAAGAGTCGGCCAGCATTTTTTTGGTTGAACATCCTCAGGGTAGTTGTGCTGGAGAATGCTGTCATGCCTCGTGACATAATTATGTCTGTTGTTTTCTGCTGTTGCTGGTGCTCATGCCGTTCCTCACGATATTCCCATAGCTTTCGCCAACATCATTTCGAAGGAGCAGTGCGCCATGCATCAACTTGACATGCATGAAAAAGGAAGCGCGAGTAGTCTGTTTCGTCTTCGATCCGTTCTTTTGCGCGGGCGACGCAAGAGTCTGGCCTTGAAGCTGCAGGGGCCGCCGTTGACTGACGAGCCCAGACCGCCGCTGCGCCAGTGCCTCACAGTGAGAAGAGGCACTGGTTCGGTCGACAGGCAGAGAATCCGGCGATACATCCTGACACCCGCCAGCTCGGATGTCAGATTCTAGACCTGAACACGCAAAAGGCTTCGGGGTTGTGTGCCCATGATGCTACACATCATATAGACCCTGAGGTGGCAATGAAACATACCCTTCTGCGGAGTGTCAGCGCACGAGGTCTGATGAAGTGGCAGGCTGGTCGGGACGCCAGCGAGGCTCCGGGGCCTCCGGGCCCTTTTTACCGATTATCGCGAGTCGCTTCACTCGCCTGTTCATACTGAAGGAGGCACTACGATGATGCGACATGATGCGAGCAATAGCTAACAAGTGGAATTCGACAAAACTGTAATCTCATAGTGATCTTCGCTGGAGTGGAATTATAACAACTACTCCGGGACGTATCATCAGGAACACCAGACATCACCAGACTGATCATCTTGACATCTATGGGGGAGTGCAAGTTGCGTGCCAGATGGGAAGATGACGGCGTCGTCGCAGAGCCAACTAGAACAGATAATTACATGTATTTCCTTCTTTTCTTCAGCATATGCGGTCCATATCTCTGCTCCAACAGGAGCGCCGGCCGCGACCCGGTCCAAGGGCCCGCCCTGCCCGCACTGAGCCGAAGGCCAAGCCCGGAGAACGCAGAGGGAGCAACCTGGATTCGTTCGGGGTTTGCAGGAAATTTAGGGGTTGGGGGTCTGAAAGCTGTGGGGATGCTGGTTGGGGGGGTAAGTGGTTTATGGGAAAGTTGGCCGTAGCTTGGTTCTCACAGTCTGTGCGCACTCCAAGGTGCAATAAGCCGTTTGCATGAGCAATCGTACATCGAAGGCATCTTTTGCAGCAGATTGACGGGCAGTCCTGATTCGCAGCTCTTACTTCAGCATCTTTGTTGATCGTCATGGTCACGCGGGTAGGCCATAGTCTTCAAAAAAGCAACGGAACGCAGAGACCCAGAGGTTCTACAGGGTCAAACTACCGGCCTGTACGCATTGATGGGGTTTTACTGGAGTTTTACAGGATAAAGCTTTGGAGTTCAGACCCCCTTCACAGATCAACTGCCCAGTGCCAAGCTGCTAGCATCAACATGACTTTACGGTGATGTGCATAACAGCACATTATTAGCACATCATACAAGTCTTTGAGCCCGGGGGTACTTACGATAGTGTGAGTCGGCTAGCCACTGTTCAATGAGGGCTTGTGAAGCGGGGTTTTGCATCAGTAGGGTTTTGGTACATGTTTGCAGGGCTCCCCATGATGTTTTTGTTTTTTTTGGTCATGTTTTAGAGCAGAATCCTGCATCTCAAGATCGTACTGCAGTCTCGTGCATAAACGAGGCGTGCTGGATCTGTTTGGAAGATGCTCTTTTGTTGGACTTGTCACTTCTCCAGACAAACGCAGTGGGTATTTGAAAGATCCAGTTTTGAGGGGGCCAGAACGACCCCTAAACCGCACGACAGGAGTGGAACTCGGATGTAGACATGCCTTTGAGTGAGGAGCTCGGCTTCTACGGAAATCTGGACACTCGAGACTAGCCTTCTCGCTTGCCATCAAAATATCAAACAGCGACAGCGAGAGACCCCTTTAGCGGCCGGTGTGCCGTTGAAGAGAGTCCCTCGTCGGAAATGGTATATACTCGTCTGCTCACAGATTTACACGTCGGCTGGACATTGTGCGCGAGGCGACAAGCGATGTCTTTCGCAAGCCTGCTCTGCCGCCTGCCGCGAAATTCCTGCACCTTGGCCGAGGTCGGGATGCTCCGGAAGTTGTGGAGGCTGGACGAACTGTTCGATGTGAGCAACGGCACCGCACAAATATCTATTGTAATTCAGTTTGCCAGCGACACAAGCAGGGTCAAAAGCCTTTTTGCTTTTCTCAGCTGCACTCTTTGTACAGTATCGGCAGCCTGCACTCCGCAAGGCGGTAGTGCGGACCTCTCGAGTAGAACTGAATACATGGCACTTATAGAAATCATGATATGAGAGTCAGTACTTGACAGGCTGCACTGTTGGTGTCGATGGTGTCTGCGGAATAGTTCAGAATGTTTTGTTTCCTTGAGGAGCTGGACCGGACAGTACCCTCGCGCCGCATTGCTGCACGTTGGGCCCCCAGTCAGACTCAGTTTGCAGCTGAGGTCCCCCGATGCCTCTATCCGTTTCCTGCGCCCTCCTCGACAGGTCCGGTGGCCACCGCTTGAAATCCTTTGCCGCAGCAATCACGGATCTCCGAGCAGCTTTCGGCTGTATGTTTATTCGGCAAGGGCTCACGTTTCTGTAGCGCACAGGCGTGCCAAATCTTCTCGGCATGGAGAGCATCACATGACAGGAGGACATATATACCAATTATCTACGGTATCTACATCCGTCTAAATGCATACATACAGGCTCGTAAAGCTTATAATCTTGCAGTTATGACGGCGAGCCGTGCCCATATCATGGTGAGCGCAAACTCGCTTCGTGTCCCTAGAGTCTCCAGAATCCGCAGCACGCAGCCATGACACCGAATCTTACATCTCTCAGCCAATCCCAGTATGTCTTCCTGAAGCACATGGCAGCCTCAGCGACAGCTCCGAGGCACCACTTAGTCATGGCTTTGCAAACGGGCCTGGAATTTCCATTGACTTGTGCACTTTCGTGGCAGTTACTTCCTGTGTCACGGCATGCCCGTGGCATTCTGAAATGCTGCCGAGCAGTTCTGCTGGTTGCTTCCATGCAGTGCTACCTTGTTTGTTCTACTTTACTGTGATGCTTCGGATCGCAATTGACTGGGAAAAATAGTCCGCCCTGTGCATGCAGGCAGGCCCCCATTGAGCTGGAAGACATCGCCGTTCTCAGGACACTTCATGGCCAAACCTGAAAGTAATGGCCCAGCAACAGCAGCAATCAAGTAGTATGGTGACAGCAGGTCTATTGACGCCACTTTTGATGTTGCCTTGGGGATGCAAAGTCTCACTATGTCTTGTTCTGGACACTCGCCCGATTGCACCGGTTGCAATGACGACCCTGACGCCCTGACGACTGCTAGCTAAATTACTCCGCGAAGTGTTAGGGGGTTTTCTCAACACCGCAAGTGTTGCGCACTATCCTGCACAAAGGATTCGTCATGACTCTCGGAAAAAAATCTGTCTCAGCCTGGTGGCCTACCTGCAGCAACCACGTCCTGCCCGCTACTTTCGTTTGTACTTACGGACGTTCCGTTGGGCGCAGGACTGAACTCCGAACCCTTCGCGAGGAATACGAAGTGCTCTCGCGAGACTTGAGGACGGGCGGTGGGCTGGGGAAGTTTGTCTGGCTTTTCTGATGTTCGGGTTGAAGCGTGGAGGCTTTATCTGGAGTTTGTCCTCAACGAAACAAACTTGAAGCTCTCGTCATTTTCATCGTAGCAGTGAAGGGCTGCGACTGAATGTTCACCTACTTACGTTGCATTCCTGTTCCGTGCCAGATCCTGCCGGACATGCGCATTTGTCGATGCCTACTGCCCCTCAACGAAACGTCCCATTTACCAGCAAGAAGTCCCATCTACTACTGTAGGTTAGACTTGTCTTAGGAGCACACGCCGGAGCCTGGCTTCTGCGAGAGGCCAGCGGCGGGACCTGAGGCACGGATCCCGGTAAGCCCCCAAGTAACCAAGCACTTGCAGGCAAAGTTCAGATTAGTACTGCATTGTATGGCAGTGTATGGCATACATGCCAAGTGGATTTGCGCATGCGCATGCCGGAGGCAGGAGGCAGGAACATCCATGTTCCTATTTCTATATATGCATCCAAAGCCTCGCAGTGGTTACAGTACAGCATTGGCACAGTTTGATGTCGGGGTTGGCTTGATGGGCAGCGAATTTCCCGGGATGCGCTTTTGCGTCGGTCTTAACTTGTTTCGCTGACATTTCTTGGGGAGTGTTCCGAAGATTCATGTCTCACGATAAAATTCCCGCATGCAAGGTCGGGGGACCAATCCGTCCCCCATCTGGTGTGAATAGCAACGTGCACAATCTGTTGCTAACATTATCCGTTGCACCCCGGTGCGAACGCGGAACGTCCACTGCTAATGGTAACGGTGAGCCACTACGCACCACGCAGTGGAGCGCTCGACTCCAGCTGAATGCTTTGGATGCATGTTACACTTCCGGCATCAAACACAGGGCTTTTCATGTCTTGCAAGCAGAACTCAATCGGAGACTTCCAGTTCCCGGCTTTCCCAGCTGCCGCAACGTGACTGATGAAAGCTTATGAAAGCTTCACAGCACCCATGGTTCCTGAACCAGGCAATTACAGAGGGGTCAGACTCAGAGCAGGGTCTGCTTTGCCCGCCTTAGCATGGCAATGCAATTCAGCAACCCCCTTGCAAAGGAAAAAAATTGTGGGTGTCTTTTGCGCTTTTCCGCTCCTGTCATTTTTGCTCCCAGGTACCACTTCTTTGCAGGCAGAGACACGGCAAGTCGCGTCCCGACCTCCCAGCCAAGCCAAGCCAAGCCAAGCGATATATGATGTAAGTAGGACCCGGAAGAAAAACAGTTACATAAGTTGATACATAGGTACTTGAGTTAATACGCATTTAGACACATGTAAACATGCAACCACAATCGCCGAATGAGGTGGGTAATGCGGAGTCGTGTTGACATCCGAAAAACGAAATCTGGGTTCGGAGTGTCCTCGCAGAGCCCCAGCAGCAATCCGAAGCACTAACCAACTCCAAAATCCCGATACCCGCTGAGCAAGCATTCACATGTATACGTTCGAACTCATACCGGCAGCATGCACGCTTGCATGCTCTCATGTGCGTTTCAAGTGCCTACTATAATTACTCTCGATACTTGCAATCACCTGCCTTTTTGTGCCTGCGTGCCTAACTTGCCTACAAGCATCTTCGGGGACAGAAAGGGACAAGCACAAAGACAAACTGGAAGAACGGAAGGCACACACACACACACAGATAGACAGGCACAGCTTCAGACACTGATTTATCGGTATTTTCACGCACAGCAACACATGCAGAATGATGCACGAACCGAACCCATTTATGCTGTATACTACGTCGGGCAGGTGGCAGGCACAAAGACATCCATAGACAGGCAGACGACGAATAGTTGCAGTATGGGCGCGGAGGAGACAGGTTTCTGCATTGAGAAAGACTGGCAGCGAGATAGGGAGCCGCAAGTGCACAAAGCTGTAAAGATATACCGGCCTTGGTAAGGTATGTTCGATCAAAGTGAGGAACAAGCCGTAGGTCGATCTCGTCAACACCACGAGCGCCTTTGACAGTCCCAGCTTGTATTTGTCGCAGCTGTCCAGCGGCTTGCAGGCAGAAGGTGGCAGATCGTGTCCTGGCAGCGTTTGGGCCCATCCCGGGGTGGCACATCCAGATCGATATCTGAATGCACTGCTTAGCTGCTGGCAGTGGGCCATGCCAGGCGAGGAAGAAACTTCGAAGATCTACCGAGAGCTGGGATGTGCGGAAGAGGCGCCTAACATTTGCTTTCTACTGAACGCACACAACCGCTGGAGCCAAAGAGCTACCGTTGGCATACAGCACCTTAGGACGTCCTGGCCCTGCAGAAGTGGCGGCAGCTTGCAAAGGAGGAGGCACGCTCAGACGGACCCATCGCTTTCAGCGCTGCGTAGGGCAACCAGCTGTCTGACGAGTGATTCGGACCTGAAGAAAACAAGGAGCCGTTCCAGATGAGTGATATGATTGGTATGGTTTGTATTCAGCTACACATCTAGGGGATGTTGTGCGAGATAGGAGGTATACACGAATGTGAGCCTGACTCAGGCCAAGAAAGCCAAGGAAATAATGCAGGGCATCGAGTGGCTTGGTGCAGATTGGATAGAGGCAAAGCAGTGCATGGATCTGCAACCTTCTGCAGCAAGACAGCTTCCAAAGCACGATGAAGCCAAGCAGCACACGCTCGACGAATCCACGTTCCATGATTTTGTGTTTTTTCCGTGATACCCTTTGGGCGTTTTGCACGGCCGTAGGCCGCAGCATTTCCGTAAAGTTGGGGTTTTGGTCATGACATGTTTTATGTTTCTGCTGCTTGTCGTCCATGCCCGTTCTCGCTAGAGCTCAGATTCCAGATAGTCGGCCCCTGGATATGGGCCAAGGAGCGAACGTTCTGCGAGCGACCTTCGAATCGCAGATCTCAAGGCATCGGGGATGTGACCCCCCGATTGAGCTGTTGAGTTGTGCAACTGTTGGGAGCAGGATTACTGATTACTGGCCTTGATGATCAGTCGTCATGTTTGGTGGTGTATTCCGGGTAGCCGCAGGCTGTGCTGAAGCGACAGGGCCGGCCAGACACAGCAAAGGCGCAGACGGGGATTTCGATTCTGCCCACAGCCCCAGCGAGGAAGCGAGATCGAGAGTCAGCAAATATAGAACAGAACTGGTTGTAAACTTCGTATAAACCATGAACGTGCTCATGCATATGGATACCATATGGCTAAGTATTATGTACATGTATAAATTATGTGTATGTATGTATATATATATACACATACTAGATATCTATATATATATATATACACATACATATGTACATACACCCATACATATACATGTACATGCATGCATGCATGTCGTCTCCATACACTCGTATGTACACATGTCCATTTGCATGTCTATTTGCGTGTCTGTCTCCGCCGTGCCAAACACGTTTGGAGTTTAAATGTTTAGACATAGGCGTTTAAACAGTTTAAACAGAGGTCGGATTTCGGCATGTTTAGGCATGTCTAAACATTTTGGGTTCGCATGTTTGAACATGTTTAAACATTTCGCGGTTGCCTTGTGCCGCTCCAACGTTTAAACCGTTTAAAGTTTTGAACCGTTTAAACGCTCCAAAGGTCCTGCTTCTCATACCTTTCGAAGTGCCGCGCCAACTTTTGAACCGTTTAAACTTTAAGCGTTTAAAGCGTTTCAACACCCCAAACGTCCTGCTCTCATACCTTCCGAAGTGCTGCTCCAACGTTTAAACTGTGTAAATGTTCAAACCTTTTAATGCCCCAAACGTCCTGCATCTCATACCTTCAGAAGCGCTGTTCCAACGTTTAAGCCGTTGAAACCGTTTAACCGCTTAAACTGTTTTAAACTAAGTCAGTGCCTTGGGGTCTAATATTTAGATTCTTGGGAGTTTCCATGTACGCATTCGCCACATGTTTACAGGCTTCGGTGTGGGCCTTTGCTTTAGCAAGGTCGAAGGTGAAGTGAGTGTATGGTACAGTTCAGAGAAACTGTGAGATGCTTAAACATGTGTGTGTTTAAGCATTTGCTTGTTTACACCATTTGGCGTTTGAAAAGCGTTTCAGGAGTTTAAACAACTTCTGCTGCGTGGCCCGTTTGTTTAAACTTTAAACGGTAAATGTTGAAAGAGTTAAAACATAACCCCTGCCCAATCGTGATCTCCGCCTTCCTGCCTGTTTGTCTGTCTGTCCGGCTGCTTGCTTGCCTGTCTGGCTGGCTGCCTGCTTGCATGAACAGGACTGCATGTTCGATGTATTCGTATGTACATATGTATGTATGTACATATGTATGTATGTATGTATGTATGTATGCATGTGTGTGTTTGCGTGTGTGTATGTGTACGTTTGTTCGTTCATACTTCGTGCGTATGTTCGCACCTATCGCATGCATGCCTGGCTTGCATACATATGTACGCATACAGATGAGCATACGAGTACACCCACACATACACGCGCATACACATGCCCATATTCATAGACATACATGCATACGAATACACGTGCTCATATGCTTATGCACAATACATACGTGCATTCATTCATACATAAACATTCCTCTTATACATACGCACATACTGCATACGCATTCCGAGGTAGACACAACATACATACACGTGTTTTCGTGTGTGTGTGTGTGCGCGCGTGTGTTTTGCTGCTGCAGCTGCTAGCAGCTGCTGCTGCTGCTGTCGCTGTTGTTGTTTACAGGCATGTATCTGTTAGCACGAGCAGCTGCGTGTGTATCTGTCATCGAATCCAGATACATAGAGACAGAAGTTGCACGCGTTTTCTGTACTGGTAGATAGATTGAACAGCACAGGTAGGTTATTATTTGCGGACAAACGGTTACATCATAACAAGATGAACCGAATCACATCTACAACTATCCAGTGCCTTCGGTACTCGGATGAATCGATTCGACCGGTCCGATGCAACACTTGCAAGCAATGCATCGAGATTTCAGGCCTTGGAAGCGGAGGCGACGCGCAGCCGCCGGGAGGCACGAAGACCCCATGTAGAGACAGAACCGAGGCACTTTCCAGCAGGTGCAGTCTCCTTCAGTAAGCAACAAACACTCGACCACTGTGAAATAGTCGCCAGGATGTCTTTTCCGAGTATGCAGCAGCAAAGTCATGCTAGAACCTTTGTCCCTTAATGCTCTCAGGCTCATGCTTCCATCCACAACAGGTGGGTTTCACGACAATCACAACAAGCCAGAAAAAGGGTCCATTGATGCATATACACAACCTCAGTCGGCCAGGGTAACCACCTGCTTTGCAGGAAGTGTTGTAGCAGACCTTAGGCCCTGGGACCCACGAACCGGTGCAGCTCCCCAAAATCCACCCAGCAGGTTTGAAGTGAGGGTGCTGCTGGCGAACGAATACAGTGCAAAGTACTAAACTTAAACTTCGATGGCTTGGACTGACCAGTGGCTCATGCATTGTCGAGCGTTGCGTGGCGAGTTCTCGCTTGGAGATGCAGCGTTTGTTCTCAAAGCAACAAAGCGAAGATCACTTCAGGTGCTGGGATGAATCGTTTCCACAACACTGTCTGACACCCACATTATCTTCCTGGTAGCAACCGCCTGTGACACTGCGGAGGCCCTAGACGAATACTGCGCTCGCATGCAGCTGCTTCGGGACCGTCTCAGGGTTTTGGTTTAGGGCTGATCATAGTAGCTTGGACACGGAGAGCAGAGGCCTCACAGGCCTCTTCATGCTGACGGCACCCTCTCTTCGGACGTTTTGAGGCTGGCTTGTATTTCTGGCCAACACGGTGGTAAGGGCAGTATGATGTCAGCCCCCGCCTACGCTCTGAAGCAGGATTACATTGCCGGCCGCCTGCCAATAGAGCGCGAAGCTCTCGCAGAGTTGCTAGCGCCTGGGGACGAGCCTTCGGAGGCGCTGGTCAGGTCGAGCGCCAGGCTTCTAGGAGTACCATGAGGAAAGGTATGACGGAAACAGCAAGTGATCAGTAACGAGTTCACGATGCCTACGACCTGAACGGAGATCACTGGATCACTGGACTGCCACGCGCACCAGTTTCAGAGATATGACATACATATAGTGCTCCGCCATTTTCCATGACAACCATCAACAGCAGCGGCTAGATCATCCTAACCATTGTCGCCGCCACCAGAAGCACGGCCATCACGACTTCCACGGCAAGTCTTACTGCACGAACAGGAAGCATGACAGTGGCAAATGCATCGAAGGCTGCCACCCTGCTACAGCAGCCGCCACCTACACCGCCGCCACCACCACCACCACCAGCACCAGCACCACCACCACCGCCACCCCCACCGCCACCGCTACCAACACCACCAGCAACAGCAGCACCAGCAGCAGCAGCACCAGCAGCAGCCCCAGCAGCCACCGCCTCCACCACCGGCAGCAGCACCAGTACCAGATAGTACCAGCACCATTCTTATGTAATAGGGACCCCGCTTCAGTGCAAGTCATGTGTAGTGAGGAGACGGTTACGTTCATCGTGGACGAAGAGTCAGGTGTCCGGTTTGGGATTTTAATTTGCCGCCGTGAGGTGGCCAAAACTATCGACACCAACGCGGCGGAAGATTTTCTGGAGGAGATGAATGCTGCGCACGCCCGCGTCATGAAGAACCTCATCGACACCTCTAACAGCAGCTCGGCCAGAACGAATCTGACGAATCTTGTGAGGCAAGGGGAGAGACTGGCACGCGTGAACAGCAGTAGCAACATGCTCCCTGTATTTGCTGGCTGATTGACTTCTGCTGCGAGGCATTATCGACAAGAAAAACCACACCTGGAAGCGGATCAACAAAGGCACCTCTTCGTCGGGGTTGGAGCCTACTGGTAGATCGGTCAAGAGCTCTGCAGTGGCCTCGCTGTCCGATGTCTTTCGGCGCTGATGTTGCTCCTTATGCTACCATTTCTTGTGCTACTGGTAAGTTGCGATGGCTGTGACCATGCCAATCGTGGAGAAGGACGACGCCACTGCGGCATCGGTCCTTACATTGGTGTCAGGTGCCAGTACAGTAAAATGTTGTCGTTGCCAATGCTCCCGGCGAATGCTAAGAGCATAGACCCTTTATGTTTGTTTTGCTCGTGATCGTTTTTGCTGCTGTTGCTGCCGCTGACGCTATTGCTGTTTCTGTTGCTGCTGCAAAAATAGTGGTGGTCTTGGCATGTCTTGTCCGTCGCCGTCGCATCAGCAATTGTTGTGGTTGTTGTTTGTTGTGTGCTACAGGCTATTGCACACAGTGGCTGTTGCCGTCCTTCACTGTAGTCCTCCTGGTTCTTGTTGCTGCGCTGCCTTGTGCAAAGGCTTGATGGCGCTAGTAGTAGTGGCTGTGTTTCTCTGAGTCCTCTGTGAGCATACGGGAAAGGACTGTTTCTGACGAGCATAATGCGGCCGGAGCGCTGTGCTTTGGCGGAGCATCCGACGATCCGCCGGGCCCCCAGCAGCCAGCAGCTCCTACGTTACGCGGCGGAAAGGGGCTCCTTGTGGTGGTTCTTGATGTCCTCTTATACGTCGTGATAGGGTTCTTAGTCTTAGTCCATGGCCACTTGCTCATGCCTTGTTCAAGTCTCTGCAGAGCCAACATGAAGTCGGAGATAGGCTTGCGATTCCTGAGTCACAGCTAGCCTTGCAACTGAGGGGACGTCCTAGATGCTGCCGAAGCACTTTGTCGGGATCGCCAGGCGAGAAATGCGCCGATCCCGAGACCCAGGCACAGAAATAGCACTTCGCAGATGGTGCGTTCACGAGGAGTCTTCACTTTTCGCCGCCCAAGATCTGTTGCCACAAGCTTTCTAGTCAGAGCCCCGCAGCAATTGAGCAGTCGAGCGCTCCAAAACCCCGCAAAGACCGGCCGATTTGCCTGCAAGGGGTCAATGACCCCAGATGCTTTTGGGCTCCTGATTTTTGGAGGTCGGAGCCGCCAGAGGTCCAGGCTGAACCTGACAGGCCCGACGCTTTGGTTTAGAATGCAGAATATTGAATACATATACTGTATGAGTATGAGCATCTCTCTCATTATATCATGTTGAGGGCTGTTGTTGCTCTCATGGGTCCATAACCCACAACCACTGACAGGTTGTGAGTGCTTGGGTTTGTAAAAGAGTTTTAGAGGGTCCGAAGCCTGCAGGAGCAAGGAGTGGCTGGGCCAGGTAGCACAACAGCCAAAGAACACAGCCTCAGGCCTCCAGCACCAGCCACTATCATTTCGATGGCAAAATTGTTTCGATCGTTTAAGATTGCGATACTCGTCGGAGTCGTCAGACTTCAGTGCCTCTAACGGCCAATGAAGCGAGCTTTAACTCCGAGGTGAGTCAGCAGTTGTTAGCGACTTCTTGGTGTGAGAAGTCGGATAGTAAACTCGGCAGGCCAGCTGACATTCCCAAAGAGGCCTCAGAAGGTTGCTGCCTCGGGTTGGAACCAGAACGTGGCATGCAGTGTGGAGCTTGACGCAGTCGTGCATCACGGCACTGCCTGGATATCGACAGAGACCGAAGCACCTGAGGCGAAAGTTCTGAGGGGCTGCCGGACGACTAGTCCGACCAATCCTGGTGTATGTCCCGGGCCAGCCTCTCCGCGTGCCAGCACGGGCAAGAGCTCCGAAAGTTCACTCGACTCTATTGGCTCTGCGATTCTGCGAAGCTCGGACGAAAAGATCAGCATCAGAAGCCTTCCAAAGCTGCGTTTGCTCCGGCTAGCCGACTTCGCTGCTGGCTTTCTTCAGCGAGTCTCGCAGGCTTCAGAGGGGCCTTCTTCCGTTTATCCGTTGATCCTCACTTGGTGTTGGTCGTTACTCTCCGCTGCTCGTGACTGTGGGCCCGAGCTCTTGCTCTTCGACCCTGTTTCGTGACTCTCCAGTGTTCCCTGCGGTACTACTGTGTCGGCGAGGTGGGTGGTCAAAAAGAAGCCCTCTTTTACTGCTTTTGCCGATTTGTTGATGCCTTTCTGAGGGCGGGAGCGGCCCAGAGAGCTGGAATGAGTAGCAAGTGCGAGGCTATACGTGCGTAAATATGTACATGTGTTTTGCACGTATGTGTACATCGGTATCTGATATGTACCTTTCTATCTATCGACTTGTAGCTAGCTGGAGTGCCAGCAAGCCAGCCATCGATCGATCAACCTATCGATCTCCCTGTCCCTTTGCCTTTCTCTCTCTCTCTCTCTCTCTCTCTCGCTCTCTCTCTTTCTCTGTCTCGTGGTGGATACGACCACATCTGTACAACCCTACAGACAAATAAGGCCGGATCTGGCAATACCCTCCCTGATGCCAGCCGATGTGGCTGACAACGGCGGAAAGATGCTTCAGAGGTTCGAGCAGAGGGCCCGCGTCAACAGGAGAAGGATGAGGATGATTGGATGATGTAGTGATTGGATGATGTAGCGATTATGATCGCAAGGATCTCTACAGAGGAGGCCACAGGACCTCCTGAGCAAGCCCGTTCTTAGATATTTGAAGCGATCCCCACACACGCCATATGCGAAGCGAGGCGCTGTGTCCGCGGACCGTCCAGACTCGAATCCGCCTAGCCAAGGCCAGGTGGCGATGTGGGTTTCAGACCTCACAAGGGCTGGTCTACCTCAGAGGTACTCGGGTTGTTGACTTTGATGTGGCGATATACATCTGAGCAACTCATCTGCCCTGTCCATGTCAACCCTCTCACATTTTTCTGAGGCTTCTGCCATTCTACCGGTCCGAAGCTTTTGTGAAAGACCGAGCAGACAAAGGAATTTCCGTTCATTACACATTCCTGCAGGCATAGCATGAGCCTGGCGTTGCCGAAGAGCCCGGTTGCACTGTGACTTCTTAGCTTGTGCTCTGAGAGGCTTCTCAGTGGAGCCCCGGGCCCGGGGGGTCAGTGCTCCCCGCCGTCCGAAGGCTGTGATCTCAGAACCTCAAATATCTTCAGTCCTTCATCCGTTTCGGGGTGAAAAGATGTCGAGGCTGAGGCAGCGCAAGGCGAGGCACGGAGTCTGCTGGCCAGGCCAAGGCGGCACCAGAGCCTCGGCCTCCGTCGACGAACTCCAGGCCCTTAGCTGCCTTGGCTTCTTCAGCAAACCAGGTCGCGAGGCCTGGAGTACTTGCATGCCGCAAGGTGTGTCTGAGCCAATGTGAAAGTTGTCGCCAGCCACTTCTGCTAGATTTTTCCGCATCATTTGAGGCCACAAAACGTTTTGATGTTTTTTTCCGTGTACTCGAAAAGGGTCGCTCAATGAGCGACTCGGCTTCCGTAAAGCTTCCGCCCCTCCCTCGAAGGCCGCCTTCCGGAGCCGGAAACTGAGCCGGAAGCTGGCCGGTTTGCTATGCACCGCATGGGAGCAGCTATAGAACCTTCTTTCACCTAAAGGGAGACCCCTAAAGTTAGGATTTTTCGTACTTATAAACTTATAAAACCGTAGTAAAGGCAGGAGGACCTAATGCCTGGGGTGCGGACGAGTTTTTTCAGCCGCTCGCATGAAGCTAGCGAGGACGTGCAGTTTTCAGAGACAACCTTGATGCACTGGTATCGAGTCGGATACTCTTCTTCGGCTGCCGCTACTAGTTCGAAGACTCGGCAGCCACAGAAGTGGCCACGTCGTTGTAGGAGTAGCACATAATACTCGCAGCCCAAGACGTCCTCCTTCTCTTCCTCCTGGTCGTCGCTGTCGCCCTTGCATGTTGAAGAAAGGTTTATGTCTTGTTACGACTGAGTGGAAGCTGGAGCCTAATGCTCTATGAACGGGACCTTGAGCTGCAATGAGCGTGCGCCCATGGACCCTAAAACTCTAAACTTAATGAAGATAAGAAGCCGGGCCTTATTTCCTTTTGGGTTCCGAATTCTGCCGAGGCTTCGGAAGGCTCTGGCTGTCCGCGCTGCGGAAGGGCACTGCAGGGTCGTGCACTGGCTACTCGGCGGCGGATTCTGGGATGTTCGAGTTTCGGATTCAGAAAGAGTGAAGAGTTGGAAACTTGAGATTTGCGTAGTCACATCTCCCACAAGACCCATCATGGGTCGCTGTGGGGAGTTCCGTCGTCAAACGAACCGCTGCTCAACGGCATTTCTGAACGTGCCGCTCTTGATGGATTAATCTCCGAACAGCGCGGTGTGTAGGACTGTGCAAAATATCTATAGGACCGAACAGGGCCTCACATGTAGAAACTGGGGAGCCACGTCTTGTAGTCTTGTGTGAACTGTGTCTTCGTATTGGTGAACCTTGGCCGTGGGTTGTGTTTTCTTTGTATGCCATACCACCCATGCTTTCGTCTGCTCCGCGTGAAGTAGAGGTGATGCACTTGAAGACCTGCGGCGTTCCAAGCCGTTCCAGAGGAGATCCCTTTGCGAAGCAGGGACCTTGGAGTTTTTCTGCCAGGAAAATCTCTCAAGACGAGCCCAGAGCGATGGAGAAAGCTGAGAATTCCGCCGGATCCGAAGCTGTGCTCCAGGCCCGACCCTGCGCAGTCGTCGCAGTCGACTCCTACCCGAGGGTATAGAGCGACAGGCGCCCTTGAGCCCTTGAAGCGGGGTGTGAGGCTTTGGGATTCGGGCCGGGTTCAAACATGGTGCAGTCAGTATGTTTGAGATTTGGGGATGTTCCGGCTGCTCGAAAATCCAGAGATGCTAGCGGGTCGCAACTTGTCGGCGGAGAGCAGACTGTGTTGCATCGTCAATGTCCCAGTCTTGCATTTTCGGCGGACTTGTTGAGGGCCACGCGTGCGAGCAGGTCCGCTGAAGTCTTTTGACTGTTCACTTTGTTTTGCTGATGTTCCGGGCATACGAACGTACTTTTTCACCGTCGCATAATCATGATCTGAGGTGCAGGAAGCGGCGACCGCACGGGCAAGGCACAGCCTGGTTGTGGGATATTGTTCAGGTTGGGGCATGTTCCGGACTTTGGAAAAGTCTTGCATGCATGTTCAGTTTACTCGGATCCGACAGCCCAGCCGAGTACCTGTAGAGCTGCTGACTGAGGGGACACTCTGCCAGAACCTTGCAAAGAAGTGCCACGGCAAGCCGCATGCGCTTGCAAGCAAACGAAGAGACAGACGCAACATATTGAATGTTGCTCCGACGCAGGCTCAACAGCCGCCTCCCTCACCGCCAATACCAACTGCAAACCGACGGAATGTGCCAGCCGCCGGCTCAGATCCCGATCCCAGACATTCTGCAAAAGGATCTTTTGTGTGAAGTCGTGTGGGGTCCAGGCTCCCTGTGTATTCTCGGGCAAATGCAGAAGAGGTGCTGGTATGTTGTCGCTTGCTTCTGCAGTTGACTTGGGGACAATGCCGTGTGTCGGTTCGCTGCAGCTGTGCTCGGCCATTTTTTTGTGAGAGGTAGTGTGTGGGAGCTGCCGCATGCATCTTTTTTTCTCACGGTGATGGCCAGGTGATGGCTAGTCGTGTTATTGCATGTTTGTTTCTCCGGCATCTTGTTAGTATCATTACAGCTGTCTTTTCATCGTGCTAATCGCGCTTTTCGTCGCTTCTGGTGGAACTTGTGCTCGTTGCTTTGCTGCAGCTGCTGCTGCTGCCGCTGCTGCGGCTGCCCTTGCCGACGTGGATGCCTTCTTCGTTGTTGTTCAACTAGATTCTACGATGACTGGCACTAGAAAGTGCTTTACTACACGGTCTGCCAGCCACCCGAAACAGATCGAAACAGTTTGGATAAACAACGAAAGGAATAGATACGTCCTGGAGCCGTGATGATAGCTTGCACTGCTCGCGGTGATTGTGCAACTTTGAGAGTTCCCCACGTTTCCAGCAAAGTTGCATGGTACCTTGTCTTTGGCAAGCCTGTCCGTTGCGGTTGCATTGCAATCAGTTGCCAGACAGTGTCGCATCGGCAAGGAATGACAGGTATGAAAGCCTCTATCCCGAATCTGTTGGCTGTCCTCGTTTACAGCCCCTGCGGTGTGATAGCTAGGCCCAAGAGCGGCCTCCGTCACCACCAATACCAACTCACAGCCGACGGACTGGACCAGTCAACCTGCTCAGATGGGCTCCAAGGGAAGTTGGGCTTGAGGAGTGCCAAGCACATCAGCTTCGGTGGCTGGGTTTTATCTTCAACTTGCTGATTAAATACCGAAAGGACATCACTGCTCGCAGTCTAGACCTGCCGAGACATACTGTAGTTGCCGGCAGCACGTCGCTTTATTACAGGCACTGGTCGTAGCAGCTGCCTCTACCAAGCGTGACACAACCTGGCTTCGCTGTCAACGTCATGGCGATGTGGCTTTGTGGTTTTGTTGGCTCGTATAAAGTTCGCGTTTGGGTCATTGGGTTTGCAGTTGACAAGCTGGCGGCTGAAACCAGCTTCAACAGCAAAGTCAAACACCAACCCTGAATGACAGACCTGGACCGTTGCCGCTTAAATGCATGCATACCGCAGCACAAGCTCTGACCGAGGCCCAACATGCCCAACAGCGCCCCACGTCACCACCTTTACCAACCGCAAGCCGGCAGAACGGCCCCGCCGCTTGCTCAGATGGGCTTCTGCAGGTTCCCGGTGCATGAAGCAACTCTCGATAGGTGCCCGCAGCTAGACCCGGCTCGCCAGCCCTTCCCGGAGCTGGTGCTCAGGTCGGCGGAACGAGATTTTGCATGTTAGGCTCCATGTTTTGCTGTGGAAATCCACCAAGCTCCCTTTGCTTCATGGCTTGGCGTTTCAGGCGTGTTCTGTGCTCAAGTTAAAGTATATAGACCACAGACAACTATGGGCACCAGACTTGCAGCCTGCAGGCCATGGGCTCGGCCTCTCTTGCAATGCACGAGGAGGCCGCAGCGTTTGTCCGTGCGAGTTTGAGGCCTTGGTTTGGGTGCCCAAAAATTGCCCGTCTCACCAGGAACAGACAGCCCAGGAAGAATGTCATGCAGAAAAAGACATCCTGCATATCTGCAAAATAAAAGCCGGTGATTGTAATGATGTCAAGGCAGGGTTTTGGAGATGTTTCTGTGGGTACATGTGCACTGCTGGCGGCCAGGCCCCGCCGGACGAGCCCATGGCTCCTTGCCCCCACTGCGGTCGCACCTTCAGGAGTCTTGGGGAGCAAAAAAGCGTTCCGTCGTGATCTTTGTAGCACTGCGCATAGTCTTGCCTTGCAGGATCTCTGCTCTGGAGAGGCACGTAGGCATTTGCCAGAAGGTCTTCCAGGAGAAGCGGAAGGTGCGGGCATGCGAGCGTCTACTGGCGGACGGTGAGACACTGAGCTGCGGACTGAGGTGTTCAATGCAGTGCTGCCCTCGGTAGCCTTCGGTGTCTCGTAATGGGCAGTACGGTCATAGACTTGCGCATCGGCGAGAGCCTGACACTGCATGATTGGGTTTCACTATTCCAGGTCAAGCAGGCTGTCCCTGATGAGGCAGCGAAGGCGTGCTGGAAAGTATCCATCTCTTAGCAGCTTGCAGTAGCTCGTTAGGTACATCGCTGGACAGCCGGTTAGAGGATCGGCAACTGTTTGTGCCAGTCATGTGGTTGCCTTCTCACGGGAGGCGAAGAAAGCCCATGAAAAGCAGGTGGGCTTTCAAACCTTGCGGCGCCGAGCTCGACTTCAGTTTGAATGTTGCCAGCCTCCTCAACCGTTGAGGAGAAGATGGAGAAGGTGGCGCAGGGTTGGTCGCCAAGTGCATGATGGAAGAAGGGAGCGTTGTTATGATATCCATGATTCCGAACATGCACTTGCGAGCACCACCCAGCCCTTGTGGAAACGAAATATGGGGGAAGTTGGCTTCTGAAGCTGCCAAGGGAATGCGCCATGAAGCACGCAACTTGCTGTGATTTTGCTGTGACTTACGCTACAGTATTGCTCGGCAAGACAAGATGTGAGGGGGAAACTCTTTCAATGCTTGCGGGCCGTCTCGGGAATGACTCAACAGCTTAGCGTCCCATCCAGCAGCAGCTCAGGCCGAAAGGGCCCGCAGGACCGGCCCATCAAGCCTGGTGCGCAAAGTGCGCCCCGAAACTCCGCTGACAGGGCTTCAGAAGCTTCGGCTTCGGGGGCAGCACTGCCAGCTTGACCCGGCAGCTTGTCTAGCGGCATTCTAGCGGCCTCCTTGAACGTTACCTGCCGTCCGCAGTTGGCTTCATCAGGGTAGGTTTGGGTTGAGGCACCACCCCCCAATGCCACTTGGCTTACACTATCTGCAGTCAGGTGATGCAATCACTGATGCCCGACAGCACGGCCCAAATGGTGCTCAGGTCAGGGCAGCTCCACCTAGCCTCGCAGTGGCCGGCCAGGACGACCATGGCTTTAGTAGAAGCTTGCCTGCGTTGCCCCTCCTTGTGACAGCAGGCATAATGTTGGCATCAGGCAGCATGCAGCCGGTCCTCCATCACGGTATGTTTGCTTTAGCCGAGGGGGTATTGTCAAACTCTTTGATGGCAGCTGCTCGGCTGCCAGCGATGCAAACGGCGCACTTCCGATTGATGGGTGACAACACCTCAATGCTTGGAATCCGCATGCAGGCAGCACGAAGGCACATCTAGCCTATGCCATCTCCCGAGGCATTACGATGGCTTCTTAAAAGGGCCTTCAATCGGGCTTGGCTGCACCGGCTACAGGCGGCAGAATCCGTGAATCCTGCACTTGATACAAAGCTTGCTCCAAAGTGTCTCTCTGAGAGATTCGGCAGGTGCGGGAGGAACCGCCTTCAATATGGTCCTTCAAGGAGAAGGCAGAGAAGCGGGACAGACACGGCATGCCAGGAGGTGAAGAGTTGATGTTTGAAATCGAAGGCTTCTTCTGGTAGGTGGAGGCATGAGCAGGTTGTCCTCAAAGGCCTGAAAGTAGCAGAACGGTTCCAATGAAGATGACGGCTGCAGGCTCGTTCCGTCGCTTCTCCGCAGTCTCGGAAATCGTGGAGCGTGTGTCTCCACTGCGACTCAAACTTCACCATTACGAAAGTTGAGCCAGAGTTGCTCGGCTCGACATATATCAGGTCACGATCGACAGGTGACTTAGCATTTCATGATGGGGCTGACGAGATTTCAAACCGGGTGCTCTGCTGCAAGGCTGCTGGCCCGAACTGGTGGTAATGTCTGGTGAAACCATACTTGAGCATTATGCTTCTTACTAGTAGTTACTATAGCCATAGAGAGTCGCAGCCAAATCATTTTCATTATAACAAACAGAGGGTTCGCAGTCGTCGTCTTCGGCAGCTCCGGACAGCATTGTGCCGCCCATCAGCCGTTGAGTTCCATCGCTGCATCTTCCAACAATCGTTGACGGAAGTTGACGCAAATCTTCTCGAACCTGCAAAGAAATCAAAGCAGCAAATCGCCACCGAAGCGGCAGCCAAACGGCTGACAAGAAAGTATGCAGGTCGCAATGTTGAAGGCCAGCCCCTGCCGGCCCCTACACTGCTACACCTGAGTCCATCTGCGTTGCAAGGCTTTGTGAACTGCTGGGCTACGAGCCGGAATCGCTGATTGGCAGGAGCTCCTAGCAGTCCCATGACTCGCTGTGGTCCTGGCCGGTCCGTCCCATGCAGCCCTTCCATTTTGGCTTTCGCGTTCTCGTTCTCAACTGTTGTGGTCCTTCGTGCACGAGACTTTCTATACTTCTCTGTGCAGTGGTTCCACTTCTGAGGATTAAGGACATTCCCCTGCCCAGGATGGGTCGCCACAACGACTCCAGACAACTGCTCGCTACAGTATGTACATGATTTGACTTCATCTACCTACAGTAGCACAGTGATCCTGTGAGGAATCATGGCAGAATCAGCAAAGCGGTGATGAAGCTGCCGAGTGGATTGCAAGGGATCACAACGTAACTGCCGCCTTAGCGTCATGCAGTGTAGGAGCGTGCTGGTACTGATGCCCGCTGTGGTAGCGGATGCCCATGTGTCTCAGTTGCGCTTCATCTCGACAGGGAATCCCACCCAATACCGAATGCCTTTCGAGGACATGGGTCTCGATCGCACATTTAGTTTAGTTTAGCACTCTGGTCGCCCTGGCACACTCCGAATCTGAACAACACGCTCAGAACTCACCCAGGAGGCGTTTTGTGGAGGTGCCTCCTTTTTTGCTCACGGGGACCGTAAAATCAAGGCTGCATGAGCTCCGAGGCTCCCAACAGCCTCATGACCTCCCAAATCCAGGCGGCGCTCTTTCGCCGGCTCCGTGAGGCACCAGCCTCGAAACGCGCAGCGCTCGTTGCAGGGCACATTTCGCGCTGCCGCCACTGGGGCAGAAGGAAAAGATATCGGAGTGAGAGCTGCTTATGTTCAAGATGGGCTGGATTGATGCCGGGGGGGGGGTGCGGGGCGAAGAGCGCAGAGGGTTTGAGAATCGATGGACTCGATGTTATTTGGGCACCCCATGCAGCGCCAGCGTGCAGACTCGCTCAGCTCTCGAGGCGACGCCGTAATTCTGGATGCAGACGGGATGCCACTTTCTTGCCGGCTTCTGGCCACTCCGCTGTTCGTTGTGCTGTGGAAGAGCACTTGCAAGTGGCTGTTGGAGAATTCTGCCGGGCTGTTGGCGTGTGCGACCTCAGGTGCACATCCATGGAGACCTTTCGTCAAAGCTTGCACCTTGGCCTGTGAATGGTCCGGGGCTGCGTACCTGCGCTAGCCGCTTGACAGCGGGACCCAGACAAGTTGAAGCGTTCTTTGGCAGCGGGCCTGCAATGGCTCGACACTCCAAAATTCGTTGCTGCGCCTGGCAGTCACAGCCAACCTTTGCTTTGGATGTATCCGCTTGTGAAGCCAGGTATTCGAGAGAGTCAGGGGCAAGATTGCGCAGTGCGTTCCACGCGGCTTCGGACAGTTCTTGCGCCAGCCTGCGGCTCCCCACATCATTGACTGCCAGGACTGAGTGTAGCATAATCAGACGTTGGCGAGATCTGAGCAATTCCGTGTTGGGGCAGTCTTCCTTTGCTTGATGAATGCAGGAGGTGGCTTGTATCATGACGGATGTGGCAAACACGACGCGCTTCGCGACATCTCAACCTCCACGAATGATGGCCGAGCTCCTACATCAGGACCCGGCTCGGATGTGCTCGTTGCTCTCCGTTACCTAGATGGCGGTGCATGTGGGCAGTGTCAGGTAAAACGTCATGAACAAGTCTACAAGTTGCAAGCATGTTTTGCTTACAGCTGGTTCATGTCTCGCCAAGTACACATATTTGGTCTGTGATGCTATGTGGTTGGTTTTGCTGGTTTGTTCACTAGACTATGACTGAGTCTTTGCATATAGGTGGTGCTGCATACTCAAGCAGTCTTCAATTGCAAGGTGAACAAACAGACGTTTGACGGGCACAGGAAACAGAAGAGGGATAAAGAAACAAAAGCTGCACAACACAGACCGTCAGGTCTACGTCACAGCCAACAGGGTAGTCCAGAGGGAGGCTCACCCCTACGTGTACATCCACGAGGCAGTGGGCGACAGCAACTTGATTCGTTCAGTGTTGTGAACATTAACATGTACCTAGGCTTTCTATGCAGTAGGGATTGGCCGTTTGCTGGTACTGTATGCGTCTGGTCCACTTTGTTGGGCCTGAAGGGAAGCCCCGTGCAGCATGTCTGTCAAATGTGTCCTCTCTGTTGTATTGGATGGACTCGCAATGTGGCCGGGTCGCATGCACAATCACATCCTTAAACCCTCAAAGCCGCTTCTCCAAGGCTTGCTGTTGCTCTGCAATGCTGAGTTCATGGCGCGATATCCAGGCGCGTCAACTCATTCCGAGCCGATTCAGATGTCGGTAGCGGCTAGCGGCTTTTGTGGTTTCCGGGTGCACTTAAAAGGCCGAACGGCTTCGATTGCGATCTACGTGGCTGCCGAGGACTGCAGTGTGGGTTGGAAGCAAGCACTGCGCTGCAGGTTTTGTACTTGGGTGCTGGAGCTGCAGGTTATTGTTTGTTTCTGTGCTGACTGCAACTCACCGACGGCCTTTGCAAAGCACGAAGGCTCCCGAGGGTACTGCCCCTCGGGTTCATGAGCACTGAGGTCGTAGGCCCGGCCCCATATTCCTAACTTGCCATCTCGATGGCCAACAGGTGCAGAAGGCTGTGGACAAAATGCTTTCAGCGTTCGCAGACGGTGATCATGGTCGCTCAGCCGAGGTTGGTAGCATCCCTGGCTAATGTTCGTTCTGTCGGCAGGTCCTGAGGTTTGGCACAAGACGAAGACAGAACCAGTTCGAAGGCTTCAAGGCTTTGTTTAAGAGGGCATGTGTAGCTTGATAGATTGCAGGGGCAGGAACAGGTCGCTGAGGTCAGCATACCGTGCATGCGGCAACACCAGAGCTCACAGGGTGCCTGTGCTCTCTGTCAGTTTCGTCCGTGTGTCGCCATGTGCACAGAGAGGAGAGCACATACAGTCGCAGCGGTGCGAGGAATGTACCTGCGGACTGGAATTGCTTTGGGGCCATTGTGTGCTGGAGTGGTGGATGGTCGCAACTTCCGCGTATTCGGGTCCACGACTCTTGGCTACAGAAGCTGTGGCAAGGCTTTTTCTTGGCGCCATGCTTAATGAAACTTGGCCTGGGGCGGCCCTCCTGTATGGCAGCTTCGTTCTACTCAGGATCCATCTCTCTCAGCGATTGGAATCCGTTTGTCCGCGCTCGCGCATTGCCTGCTGCAAAAACTTCACCGCACAACTCCTTGATGAGGCTGGGGCTTGGCTTCTGTAGAAACTTCCGCGAGGCAGAAACTGCCAGCCTTTAACCAACGAACGTCGATGCGCAGTGAGGTGACAAGACGAGAAATTCTACCTCATGTATCTATGTATGTATGTATGT